CCGACTATATATTCAGGAAGAATAAATCTCAGTAATGTGAGTCTTTGGTATGTGGTTTGCCAGTGCCCTGGCCGCCTTTCCTTTGTGTGTGACAGATCTTTCAGCTGTCAGTTCCTGGGGCCCAATCTGTCTGATTTGGCAATCGGAGCCTCTGGCCTGTTTCTCCTGACTTCCTCACAGTTGACCTCGCCAGGAGTTTCCCCAGCAAAGGGTGTGATGAGCAAGCTAGGGGATGGGAACCCGTGTGGGAGACTGCATGGCACCAGGTTTGGGTGTCTGTGGCAGCATGACACCTGTCTGTCAGGCTTCTGGAAGAAGAAAGGGCACACAAGCTAGGAAGAGTTGTTATAAGACAAAGTCTCAGCCGGGCGTCAGTGGCTCACGCCTGTAATCCTCGCTACTCCGGAGGCTGAGATCTGGAGATCCTGGTTCAAAGCCATCCTGGGCAGGAAAGTCCATGAGCCTCTTATCTCCAATTAACCACTAGAAAACTAGCAGTGGTGGTGTGGCTCAAGTGGTAGAGCACTAACCTTGAGCTGAAGAGCTGAGGGACAGAGCCCAGGTCCAGAGTTTAAGCCCTACAACTGACAGAAAAAAAAAAAAGACAGTTTAGGCCAGGTCGGCCTCCAACTCATGATCTTTCTGCCTCTGCCTCTAGTGTTAGGATTACTCATTTAAGAAAGTAAGAAAGGAGGGCTGGGAAGGTAGCTCAGTGGTAGAGCGCTTGCCTTGCATGCATGAGGCCCTGGGTTCCATTCCTCAGCTCCACATAAACACAAAAGGCTGGAAGTAATGTTGGCTCAAGTGGTAGAGTGCTAATCTTGAGCAAAAAAAGCAGCTCAGGGACAGTGCCCAGGCCCTGAGGTCAAGCTCCAGGACTGGCAAAAAGAAAAAAAAATAAAGGAGCTGGGAGGTGTGGTCAAGTGGTACAGAGCTTGCTTAGCATGCCTGAGGTCCTGAGTTCAGCCCCTACCACAGAATGGAGTTGAACTAACCAAGGATGGTGAATAGCTCCCAAGCTCCCCCAGGTCGGATGCCTTTATAGCGCCTGGCTCTGATAGGGTGGGGAGTTAGCTGTGTGAGGACCACTGCTAGGGGATATGGGCCACCAGATTGACCAGGGAGAAGAGGGAACAGGGAAGAGAAGCACCTTGCCTTTAGTCTCCTGCAGGGGCCTCCCATTGTCAAACAGCAGCAAGCCTGGGAATGAGGGAGCTACTGACAACCACCACAGATGGCAGCCTCCCCTGGGAGGGACAAGAGTGAACCTGGAGGGGCCAGCACAGTGTGTATTGGCCCACGAGAGGACTTTCCCCAGTCCATAGCCCCACTGTCTTCCCTACCTGGCCCTGGATGTGGAAATGAGTGCGTGCAGGGAGTTCAGAGGGCTGAAGGTGAAGGATTGGGCTTTCCTTCCTCAGCTGTCCCCTCACTGATGGCTGCCTGTCCTGATGCCTTAGGTGGCTACAGAGGCTGTCCAAGAACAATGTCAGCCACTGAGTTGGTGCTTTTCTCACACAGGGAAACAGCCACACCCACAAGCATGCAGTTGCCACCACAGGCCCTGACAGTCACCTCAAGCCATGACGAGTGCCATGTGTACATTAAGAAAAGATCTATCCAGCTGGGTGTGGTATATACCCTTGTAATCCCAGCACTTAGGAGGCCGAGGCGGAGGATTGAGAGTTCTAGGCCAGGCTGTGCTACTTCGTAAAAACCAGTCACAACAGAACACCATATATCTTGGCATACTACTATATGCTGCCACTTCTACAGAAAATAAATTCCTACCACATACATAAGATATACTGTCACAATGGTCTACAGGAAATGAGTTGGGGGAAGGTGTCTAGGAAATAGCACCATCTTCTAGCAGACAAACCTGTTTTGTCTTCTGAAAAGCAGAGATAGCACTCGCTCCTTGGTTGTGGAGTTGTTGCAAGAGTAAATGGAGGGATGACAATCGGGTAGCATTGGGCATAGAGCCTCATCAGGCAGAAAGCCTGTCAGGCGGTACCTGTGACTCTCCCCCCCCCCCCCATGCCTGTGTGTGTACTGCACAGGTGATAATGTATACCCACCAGTCAGACACCTTCAGGCACATGTGCCTTTTTTCAGACTCACCTGTCAGGGCACACGCATTCACAGACAGGTTCCCTTGCCACAGAACACTTTCCCCAGACATGGCTCGCTTCCCATTGTCTTTGCTCAATCAAGGTTGTTTTTTTTTTTTTTTTTAAACTGGTCCTGGCTTTAACTCAAGCTTAGTGCTCTACCGCTTGAGCCTCAGCTCCACTTCTGGCTTTCAGTAGTTAATTAGAGGTAAGACTCACAAATTTCCTGCTTGGGCTGGCTTTGAACCATAATCCTCAGATCTCAGCCTCCTGAGTAGCTAAGATTAAAGGCATGAGCCACCAATACCTGGCTGCATCTGTTTTCTTGAACGTGGCCAACCCTGCATTTCCATGCCCTGTGTGTGTGTGTGTGTGTGTGTGTGTGTGTCAGTTGTGAGGCTGGGCGCTGTCCCTCAGCTCTTCAGCTCAAGGCCAGTACTCTACCACTTGAGCCCCAGTGCCCAGTGCCTCTTGCATTGTTGCCTCCTCCTGTTTCCCCTCCCCCGTCCCCCCTTTTTTTTTTGTTGGTTGTGGGGCCTGAACTCTGGCCTGGGTGCTATCCCTCAGCTCTAGGGCTCTACCACTGAGCCATAGTGCCATTTCTGGCTTTTTTTTTTTTTTTTGCTTGTGTGGTACTGAGGAATAGAACCCAGGGCTTAATGCATGCAAGGCAAGCGCTCTACCACTGAGCCACCTTCTCAGCTCCATCGTGATCTTTTAAGGCTGCACTGTTTTGTCTATCCCAATAGAATGCAGTCGGCACTAAGGTAGCGATGACTGCCTTTGGTTTGTATTCCTAACACCTACAAGTTACTGGCACATGGTGGGCTGCATGGGGAGTGTACTTATGCCTACCTTGGTTCCCTCCTCCCCCAAACAAGCATGGCCACCTCACTCCCACCCCAATAAGCTGAGCCTAGTATGTCTGTGTTTTCCCCTCAGGCCCATGTTCATGTTCAGATGGACAAATTTTGTCCCTCCCAGGACCCTGGCTGGGGGGCCACAGCTGGGTGAGGGGGGGAGGGAGGGGCTGTTTTCTGTCATCAAACAAGGCAAACCTTTTCAAGTGGCCCTCCCAACCATTTAGAGAGCAGCATTCCTAGGGACTGGGTTGCTGATGGAGCAGGTGTGGAGCTGGACTCACCCTGTGACCTGAGTTCTCCTCTGAGGCCTTGTTTCCTCTACCCTGGTTGGAACCATCAAAGTTACCACTTTACAAGCCCTTAATGGGGCTCAATCCGGTTAGGGCTTTACAATCCCTACATCAAAGGGGCATGGCAAACAGTGGACAGCGTCCGGGAGTGAATGCCTTAATTCTTGAGGGAACCTGCAGCTGGCACTCCCAGATAACCTGGCATGGCCCGATCTTGGTTTGAAGAGACCATGCTTTTCCGGAGGACTTGATAGTGAAGCAGAGAATAGGGGGTGGACTCTGGCATTGGAGGGAATCCCAGAAATTGCCTAGTCTCAGATGCTCTTAACTGGAGGGAGGGCCTCCTGTTCAGACTTACCCAGCTTGTGGGGAGACATGAAGTGGGCAGTGTTCAAGTAAAATGGACCTGGGCACTGGAGGCCATATGCATGGCTAAGAGGACCTGAGGTAGACACCTCTCCTCTTTTGTTTTCCTTTTGGTCTTGGGACTTGAACTTTGGGCTTGGGCAATGTCCCCAGGCTCTTTTTGTTCAAGGCTGGTACTCTACCATGTGAGCCACAGCTCCACTTCTTGCTTTCAAACCACAACCCTCAGATCTCAGCCTTCTGAGTAGCTAGAATTATGACAGGCATGAGGCACTTGTTGCTCAGCCACCTTCCCTAGAGTCCTAGATTTGCTGAGGCAATGTGAAGATCACATGTGTAGAGACAGATTAGTCTAGTAGTCAGACTGGGTCAGGAGTGAGGGAAGGAGAGGACCCACACCCCTAGTCCCACCCCCACTGTCAGCTCCTACAAGGCTAGCCAGACTCAGACTGGGGAGGAGCAGCTGTCTCCACTGCCTCAAGGTTGTCCTTGGAGAAAGCATGCGACCAGGCGCAGTGTAGACAATCTTTATTGGTGGGTGGTTAAGAGTGCAAAATAGCAACAAATCCAGAGGAATAGAAAAGGGGGGGGCTCCCTCCCCCTCTGACAATGTGACAGTCCTATAACCAAGCCAACTCAGTTGTGACACATTTGAGCTCAGCACCCTGCTCCCAGACCGCAAGGATTCTCACAACACAAGGGAGGGGGTGTGTTACACTGGGAGAGGCGTGGGCTGCGGCCCACCCTGGCTACTTAGCACTTGTCCTCTACCTTTCTTGACCCCTCAGGAGGCAAGGCTGCTTCACAGGTTGGAGTGCAGGTTTCGGGAGACTGGGCTAAGCCTATCTCTTCCCAAATCTAAGGAAATGCCTCGGTTTCCCTTTTCTCAGTGATTAGCTGGGAGGGAATCTGTTAGTGGCCCAGCCTGACCTGAAGTGAGTAGTCGCTGTTACATACTGTATTTAGCCAGTGTGTGGGCTGGCCCTAGTCCAAAGGACCCTTTCTAGGCCATGGAAATCAACCCAAGGTTCTGAGCATGGAGGCCATCAGTCAAATCTGCTTTGTCTCCTGGAGGCAATTGACTCTCAGGACAAGTAGTTCCTGCACTCCACAATCATGACATTCTAAAAAAAAAAAAATAATAATAATAGGGTGCAATGGCCAAAGGGTATCCCTACCAAGAGCCCCAGCTTGGCCTTCAGCCCACAGAGGCCTCAGGGAAGTCTATTCTGCTCAGTTGGAGGCCCAACCTTACAGCAGTGCTGGGTGAGCCTGCACAGGTAGCCCATCTCTGGTCATAACCTCCACGTGCTCCTAGTGTCCCCACCCCACCTCAGGACCCCTTGTCCCTTCTGGCCAGAGTCCAGTCAGTTGCAAGGCAGCCAGGTGGGATAGGAGGAGTGGGCCCCAGCCAGCAGAGGCTGCACGGGGGTCACATAGTAATTGACAGTGGTCGGTACAGCCCCATCAGGGCCCGGGGGGCGCCAGGCCAGGGCAGCCGCGGCAGCAGGGCCCTGCTCAGCCAGCGCCTGGAGTGCCAGTGTGGCAATGAGGTCCAGCGTCTGGCGGCGCTCATGGCTCATGAGGCACACGGTGCTCTCGTTGACCACTTGGTGCAGTGTCACCAGACAGGCATACCGGCGGGCGGCATCAGCCCCGCCGAAGTGGGCCTCTAGATAGCGCTCCAGCGTGCGCTGCTGTTCCACCAGGTCGGGAAAGTCGATGAAGAAGCGGGAGCACATGTACCGCTGCAAGGCTCGCGTGTCAGTGCTGGGCCGTGGCCGGAAGCCCCGCACGAGGAGGTGGCAGTATTTGAGCAGGCCCCCACCTCGGATCTCCTCAGGGCTGCGCGTGGCGATGACCCGATGCTGCAGGTGTTCTAGGGCCTCGGCGAAGTCCCCATACAGGCTCTCCCCCATCACGGTGGGGTGGAAGGCCTCAGACATGGGTGTGGATGAGCACTGGCCAAAGAGCAGCAGGGAGTCAAGGATGATCTGGAAGGAGTCTATGCTGAACTCGAACTGGCGCCTCACGGAGTCCACAAACTTGAGCTCCACGTTCTTGCCACTCTTGTTAGACAGTGAGATGAGGCTCCAGCGGTCGGTGTCCGTGCACACTTTCACCAACTTCTGCACGTATGCCTCCTTGAGTGTCAGTGGCGTGATCTTGGCCCTGCTCACCCCGGCTGGCAGGAAGTCCAGCAGGCAGGCCAGCACCACCGCCTTGGTCAGCTGGAAGGAAGCCTCGCTGTGCAGGTCTACCCGGAACACCAGGTCCAGGTCCTTGTAGCCCAGGCCACTCTCAGGATGCAGCACGTGGCTGGCAGCTGAGCCGTGCAGTCGCACGCTGTGCACCTGTAGTCCCTGTTCTTCCAAGCTGTTTCGGACCACCTGTGGGGAGAGATGGGTGTCAGGAGGCTGGTCCTCTCAAGTCTGCACTAGGACTTCAAGAAAATCATCACAGTAACATCAAGCGCTGGTGACCATTCTCTCTCTCTCTTCTTTTTTCTTTTTGATGGGAACTAGGACTTGAACTTGGCCTGGGCATTGTCCCTGAGCTTTTTCATTCATTGGTGCTATGTTACTTAAGCCACAGCTCCACTTCTAGCCTTTTGGTGATTAACTGTAGATAAGAATCTCACAGATTTCCTTGCCTGGGTTGGCTTTGAATCACAACAGTCAGATCTCAGCCTCCTGAGTTGCTAGGATTACAGGGCTGAGCCACTGGTTCCCAGCTGCTCTTATGTCTGAGAAATCATTTAACTTACTAAACTTCAATTTGCCAGTCTGGTGAATGATCTATTTGAAGGAATGACTCACAGTATGGATTAAATGAGCACTGAGCTCTGATCAAAACATTTTATACATTGAAATCTAAACTTATTTAACCCTCACAACACCCAGAAGAGATGAGTGCTATTTCTTGCACTTCATGTATCAGGGAATAGAAATACAGAGGGACTGGTAATTGCTGAGCCATACAGCTGAAAACTGAGATAGTCTAGGTCTTAACCACTGTGCTATTTTATCTCCCTAAAATAGCAAGCAAAATGCTTAGCGCTGTGCTAGGCATGATGTTAGCTGTGGGCAGGTAGAAGTTCAACAATAAAGTTAGCAGTTGCAGGCATTGATGCATTAATCATCATGGCAAACTTGTCCGGACTATTACTATTCCACTAACAGACAGGAGGCCTGAGTGGAAGCACAGAGCAGTTAAGAAACATGAACAAGGGCTGGGAAGGTAGCTCAGTGGTAGAGCGCTTGCCTTGCATGCTGGAGGCCCTGGGTTCGATTCCTCAGCACCACATAAGCAAAAAGAAAAAAG